CATAAAAACTTTTGGACTTTTTTAAAAAAAATTTCTGCTTTTTTTTTTTTTTTTTAGGACGCTAAGTTTATCTCTACTATTAGTTTAGTCTGTTCTTCAGACAATGATATATCTTTTTTATTGTTTTCAGTGACCTGTCAGATGCCTTGGTTATCTTCCAGCTCTATGAAAAGATCAAAGTGCCAGTAGACTGGAACAGAGTGAACAAACCACCATATCCTAAACTGGGTGGCAACATGAAGAAGGTACAAAAAGCTGGAATAGCTACCGTAGCCATGCCTTATCCTCAAAGGATGTCTGTATCATTTCAAACAGTAACATGTGCACTCATGTTGCTCTCAAGTCCCAAGTACAGCACATTAAATGATTTTTTGTCTAGTCAGTGAATACTTTTCCGTCCTGAAAAAAGAAACATACATTTGACTCACTGGCTCTGTTGACAGGTGAACAATATTTGTAAAGGAAAAAGACTTGACACCTTTTGTGTCAATATTTAAAAACTGTATTTGCAGACCACTTTTGCTACTGTCTTAGTCACCAATTATAATGCACCTTCACCGTGAGTCATATGGCACCAACTTAATTGCAGCTGTCTGGATCACTGCCCTCCACATCAAATGAAGACAGTGATGATAAGCATTCTTGACCAGATGCCTCAAGACCCGATCACAGAGTTGCTGCTAAATACAAAGCTTTCTCCCAGCTATCTGGATGAGTAATTCCATTCAGTTAGGCCAGAGTGATTAACTGACCTAAAAATTGACTGGGACACTAATGCTTTGTCTCAGTGCAATGCCATGATGCTGGAGGTACCCATGAGCCATAGATTTGTATCTTCTAGGGTAATCAGTTTTTCAGGCCCTGATGATGAAGTACAACATTTCTTTTTATATTAACTGTTTACCATGGTATTTTTGGGATGGAACTGGCTGCTGGTAGTCAAACAAACAGCTGTATTATCACAGAGCCCCAAAGCTCCTGTTTGCCCAGGAGGATCTGGGCTAAGCGATCCAAAGAATTTAAAGTAACAGTGTCTTGTCTTCTTTTTTTCTGTATTTTTGAACCGCACTAATGGACGCTGTCATTAACAGCTTGAAAACTGCAACTATGCAGTGGAACTGGGAAAGAATCAAGCCAAATTTTCCCTTGTTGGCATCGCTGGGCAAGATCTGAATGAAGGAAACCGTACGCTCACGCTGGCCTTAATCTGGCAGTTGATGAGAAGGTATGCCAGTCAGACACAAACTCCAGAGTGCTTTGGTATACTCAGTTTGTATTGTAGTAGTTTCCTGATGCTACCACTGAGACGGCTCTACAGGCTACAGCTTTCTCACTCCTCTGTTTGCACTTATATGTAAAGACAGAGTAACCTTTTGCTCACTCCTAGCTAGGGATGCAATCAGGAAGCACATTATCTTGTGGGCAAGGCTATTACAGCCAGCTCATGCAGAAGATTATTATTGTCACTATCTGTATAGCGTGAATAAATGTTCATTGCATGGAAGAGAGAAAAAGAAGTTGAAAGGTCTCTGTATCAGCGAGTGGGGAGAATGTACTGAAAACAAGGAATTAATGCAGAAGTTTTGTAATCTGCTACCTGAAGCAGATGCAACTCAATAAGTCTCCCCACTTTAATGTAATTCTCTGCATGTGTGTGTGTTTGTGTGTGTGTTTACGAGCTCCATAATTGGGTGTAAAGAGATCCAGCGGTTAGGAACTGGATACAGACTAAATTCAGTCTATGAAGCAAGGTATAGGTTTATCAGGCAGGTAATTAATCTAGGGATGTGGTGATTACTTGCCAGCAATTTGGGATGTCTTTCCAAGGTGTATGCTGTCATATAAGCAAAATATTCCAGGCTTGTGTTTATGCAGAGGGTCGGTCTTAGATGAGCAAAACAATTCCCTTCTGGCCTTAAAGTCAGTGATTATTTTTTAAGCACTGTGAGAATGAGTCATTTACACTGAGATCCACTAAGAGGGACCTTGTAGGAATTTTGGGTATCAAAACTTTTTAACACTATCAAAAAAGTGATTAGGGAACTGGGGGTGAATTAGACCCAACAGATGAATTAGCATGTTATAATATAATTCATACATACTGTGAGCGTGTGGAAAGCAGGGGAATATCAGGTCTAAGAGGACTTTTGGGGTGATCCCAGTCAAGATGAGCACGTATAGGGTGGCTCTGAGGTTATGGCAGACTTTGAGCAAATGCAGGTATCCTGGCTTCCCTCTTCAGGTACACCCTGAATATCCTTGAAGACATTGGTGGTGGAGAGAAGGTCAATGATGAAATCATTGTCAGCTGGGTCAATGAAACACTGACTGCAGCTGGGAAGGATTCAACCATCTCCAGTTTCAAGGTACAGTTTTTTGCTGGAAGTCTCTGCTTAGGAAGCTCTTATTCAGTGTGTTTGTGTGTAGTTATATGCATTGCCTGTATATAGATGTATATATGCATATACACACACACAATATATTATGATATAATTAACTACATAGTTTGATTATTTTTCATTCCCTCTTAAAGGCATGTTCAGATATAGAGATTTTATTCAAGGGGCTTTATTATGAAAAGGTAACAGAAACATGGTATGAACAATACAGCAAACACCTTGAATGCCAGTTTGACATAGGAAATCAAAGTATGGATCCAGGAATGATGACTGGAATTAAGCAAGAACTGCTGTGCTGTTGATTATTAAATGACGGCAATTACAAATGACAGTATTAAAAAGAACAAGAGCAATACTTTCATAATGTGGTAGTACCATTCAGGGGTGGTGCCCTATTTTGCAAGGCACCTTACAAACACAGAGGTGCTCCAATTCCAGAGAGCTTCCAATTTTTCTAACACATCTGAGACACTTCCCAAGCTGGGGAACATTCAGTGGATGTAAATCAGCAGTTTGCACCAGGCGAGGACAGATCCATCAGACTTCACGTAATGAGCTCAGAAGTCACACAGCTGGTCCCCCTTGCACCTCCCATCAGTAGACGTGTATTAATGTCATCTCCCCACAGGAAGCAAATTCACTAGCCCAGCACCCCATCTTTTGATTTAATGATGTCTCATCCATTGGGGAAAAAAAAAAATCCTTGAAAGCATTCTTAGTCTGCTTTAGATGAAAAATGACGCTAAGCAGCACTTCGTGAAGATCTAAATGGTATGTGACTGAGCTGTCCATTGCTCTTGAGGCTAGACTCTGGCTTTGTGGGAGATCTGCCATCCTGTTCTTGCATCTAATTGTATTTTTCACCTATGCAGGATAGCAAAATCAGCACCAGCATGCCAGTCCTGGATCTCATTGATGCCATTCAACCAGGATCAATCAAATATGACCTCTTGAAAACAGAGGACCTGAATGATGAGGAGAAACTAAATAATGCTAAGTACGTATGTGCCAAGTGACACTTAACACGAGTTACCTCCTCAGGCTTGCCTGACTCTGTCTTTGAAAACTGCTCTGCTGTCATTCTCATCTGGCACAACCTCAACTGAGAAATACCTCCAGAGTTAGAAGCATGAAGGCTAGGAGTTAGGCAGTAAAAAAGACTATCAATGGAAATGAAGTGTGTAATGTTATAATTCCCTTGAAGGGATCAAAATCACTTGGCTTCACAAGCTCCTATTTTCTCTTATTTAATTTAAAATTCTTTCAGAGATCAGGGAACAATGCCAACAATAGTGAGCCATGGAAACCAGTGATTCGAGGTCATGATACCTCTTTAGTCACATATAGGTGGAACAAGGGCATATTTGAGAGAGAAGGGGGAGGACAGGATTCATGCCTGAAAAAATGGTTTTATGGATGTAGATATTGATTTTTTTTTTTCCTGAGTGCAAACCATTTCCTAGCAGAGAGCCAATCCTGGGGGCATCTGCCTTTCCTTTCAGAATTATATAGATCACCTCCCAGTCTGATCATCAGTTTAGCTTCTCCTTTGCTATGTGGCAACTACAAAAGAGAAAAGGATGACTGTAAGGCAATCAGACCTGTCATCATTTTTATAAAGACTTTTCCCACTGTTCTTTTTCCCTTCCATTTCCTACCATCTGTTCTCTTTCTTTCCTTGCAATCCTACATGTGCTTCTCTCCGTACTTAATTTCTTCATCCCTCTGCTGATGTTTTCCTTTTTTCCCCTCCCTTTCTCCCCGCCCGCCTCCCGCCCCAACATGTTTCTCTGCATTTCGGGGAGAATTTCACAAACATATGTGCTCTGCAGTGGGAAGAACTTGGGATTTTCTAGCTTTTTTCATGAAAAAATAGAGAGAACAGACATACCCACTGGAGAACAGCCAGTAGCCATGTACAGTGCACTCTGAGGAGGGAGATGGGAAGGTCAGCTTGCAGATTCTGGGTACGACTCAAGCAGAAGAGAAGTCCCCAAATGTCGATCTTCCAACAACACTGATGTCCACCAACATCAGCCTTCTGCTTTCCGGCGTCATGAATTTGTTTATGTGCGAAGACTGAGCAGCAGGGATTGAGGGGGAGCAAGACCAGAATGGCTGCTTATTAGAATAATCTTTCAGGGGATGGGAGACTAAGTGTTTCATACCAGACTTTGACCTGCAGTCTCCTATGCTGCAGTTAATCAGTGCTCTAACCATCAGGGAATACACTCTAACTTTTGCTAGAAATTACTTCTTTATGAACCTGTCTCATACATTCCTACAGAAAAGTTTGATTCTGACAAATCAGTAAGAAAGTTCCCAACCCACTCTGGTACTGGTCATGTAAAACACTTCTTAACAGAGGGAAAATTAATGCTACTGTACTAATTTATTTCTTTGCTTTGTTTTTTTCACCCCTGCCATGCAGGTATGCCATCTCTATGGCAAGAAAAATTGGAGCAAGAGTCTATGCCCTTCCAGAAGACCTGGTTGAAGTAAAACCCAAAATGGTCATGACAGTGTTTGCTTGCCTTATGGGAAAAGGCATGAAGAAAGTTTAAAGCACAAAAGACTTGTACTGATGCCTGGTATTCACCCTTCTGGTTCCCTCAAACTGGATGTTCTTCTCCTTATCAAGGAAATATGCAGGGTGCTCATGCTTTTAAAGCATGAATGTTATACACAGTTCCAGATCGTACAAAAGTTGTGTATCCACATGTATCCAGGAAATGTTTTGTTCTGAACAATAATATGTGCTTGATTTCTTTGCCTTATTTTCCACTTTGCTAGATATAACCATTTCATCTTCCTGAGTAAGTTCTCAATAATGAGGCCTATACATATCCTTTTATTAATGGATACCAGGGTTTTCTGCCAGAGGTCACCTGGAGATCTTTGTCTTGGGAGGTACAGACAGCTTTTAGGATTATGAAATGTTATATGCTGCTTCTGCCTGAAAATGTCTTCATGCTTCTGGTAGCATTTCTGCCATACTTTTCTTCAGTTTGCACCTGGGATAACAAAAGGGGTTTCCCCAAGCCAATGCAAGTATTAGTGACTATATTTTTGGAACAGTAGGATCCTCTTAGGAAATTCTTGTGGAAAGAGAGAAGTGTCTGGAGTCTGCTATGTGTTGCCGGTATGTGAACTGAGCCATAGTTTTCCCTGCAAGTTATGCCTCTGCCGTCAGTGGCATTACCCACAGAGTACATTACTGTTCACTGAAAAAAACATACCGTAGCCTGGTCCTCCAAGAACACCCGAACTCTGGAACTTTTGCAAGAAATGCTCTCCAAAGGATAATTCATTTTTATGTCATAATACACTTAAAACATAAGCAGATTGCAAAGCATGATAGAAATGAAAACCATGTTAAAGGAACTAAGGGGTTATAGTCAGTTAGTAGCAATAAGATAAGCAAACCAAAGAGATACAGAATGACGTATTTATGTAGTGAATAAAAACTAAACTCTGTTAACTTTACAGACTTGCACTCAAAGGGCTTTGACCCTGATTCAGGAGAGCATTTAAATGTGTGCTTGCATATGAAACACATACTAAAATGCTTCCCTGAACCCAGGCTGGGATCCTCAATGGAGCTAAATCAGCATAGCTTTGCGGCTAACAAGGCGCTGTCAGTTTGCCTCAGTTGAGGACCTAGCCCCATCTGCGGATAGTCAGTGGGATATATTTGCACTGAATCTCTTCCTTGGCTTGAGTCATTTACTGTTCTGGCCTTTATGTGCATTTCAGTGTGATGACACGCAGAAGGAAGGAATTTTGCCTTAATGCAATCCCATTGACACAGTCTCAGTTCCCTCCCTCTCACCCTCCCTCTCTTCCAGCCACCTCAGGATTGCCTTAATAAAGAACCAGTATTCAGTGACATGAGAAGCGTCTCCAAATAAATTGTTCTATAAAGCCAAATGCTTAATCTTTGTTTTTAGTAATGCATGTGCTAATGGGGAAGGGTGTATCATATAGCTGAAATAGGGACAGATTTAAAAAAAAAAAACAACACTCTGGGCTTGCTAAAGATATGTCTTCCATATTGTTATTGAAACCACAAATTGCAGAGAGCAGGAAGAATTATTTCGTAGGTAACTTCTGTGCATGCCACTCTGAAACACTGCTAAAGATGGGATGTTGCGCTGGCTGGACCTGCAGCCTGACCTGGTACGATTTTCCCCATTTAGATCAATACCCCTCATCCTCTTCCTTTGCTCATATACCCATAAACTTTGTTTAAACTTTGTTTTTTTATGTATTCTGCAATGCAAATGTGCCACTGTGTTTCTGTACTAAAGGTCAGATCCTGTTCCTGATCAGATCCGGCTGCCCTGTTCCTCTCATGAACCTATGTATTTAATACAGGATGGGAAAGGAACAGCATCCCAAGACCTGTTCTGTCTGGTCACAGTATTTCCCAGTGCTGGCAGAGAAGGAGAACATCTCGAGTGTTATATGAAGAGATGTCACCCCAACTTACTGCCCATCAACAGCGAGTTATCAGAGCATGGTCTCTATGCTGCTCCTCCCCTTTCTAAGTGCAGGACCCCCTGTTGCCATACAAGAGGGGTGGCACTGAAAAGGCGGCTGCTCTTCCTTACGTTGTTTGACTTGGGAGTCCAGCAGAGGTAAACCAGAGAGAGGAAACTGCAGGCAGAAACTGTGACCACAGCATTTCCCTCGGGTGGGATGACCACGTATTTTGTGTGTGTTGCATGCATGTGTGTATGTTCGCAAACTGCAAGGGCCATTTTCAGCTGGAGAGACAGTGTAGATCCGAAAGGGCCAGGTAATCCTGCCTGAAGACAGCCCTGCTCTGGGTTCCCCGTCTCAGGGAGATGCCCTCGCCCCAGACTCAGGGGCAGACGTGGGGAATGAGGTACACGATGGATGGGAGATGGCAGCAGCACCAGGCTGTGAGGAAGGGCTTTTCCCTTGGTCCCAAATGAATGCTGGCACTTGCTATCCCCACAGGGAAGAAGGGATTTTCAGACACAGCATTTCCCCTTCACCAGGCCTTAGCAACTGTTTTTTGCATGAGGGTAGGATTTTTAGAGGAGCCTACTGAGAGAGGCGGGGAGAGGAGGCTTTCACACATGATGCATTTCCCATAGGCAAGATGTAGGAGTCCAGTGTCCCCAGGGATCGAAACCTGCCTCTAGCTCAGGCTCTGGAGAGGGGTCAGGTAATGTACGCTGTTATTCAAAGCGTGTTTTGCGAAGGGGGCTGCTTTTCCTCCTCCTCAGCATCCTCGAACTGGAGCCAGGCACTCTGCCATACAGCCCTCCCTCCTAGTCCCCTGCCCCCAGGTTGCATTTTGGGGCACTCTCTCTGAACCCCAACCTGCAGCTCTGCACCAGCGCTGAGCCCTGGCACCAGCCCTGGCACCAGTGCAGCAGGGAGAGCGAACCACGAGATGGCAGTCACTCTATCTGGAGTTTTAGAGACTGGCATGCATGACCTCCAAAAATGCTCTCCTCTGGGAAATGGGGAAAAATTGGGATATTTAACCCTAGGCAAAATGCTAGCACCTGTCAGTGTGCAAAAGGGAATAGGTAGGGATACTATAGTAAATGCCTTACCAGATCTTCATCCCTATCTCTATAATCTCCCATGAAAAATAAAGCTGACATGGACCCGAAGGTGTGGGAATAGCCACATTCTGGTACAGGAGTATAAACAATTTCACTTTTCAATGCATCTCTGTTTAACTGGGTATTCTCATTTTTTTGATGGAATTGAGGTTTTTCATGAACTGGTAATAATAACCTGTAATAAAGCTCCCAGCAATTGCTGAAGGGGTTAAACCCATGACAAGCATCACAAGAAAAACAGGATCTGGAATTTTTTGCTGTTGCTTTTCTCCAGCTTTTTCCATCACTCTTAAGGAAAGCAGCTGTCTTTGGGATTCACTCCCAAATCAAGCTGGCTTTGTAAGCACTTTAATCATAATTTTCAAGGCTTCAAAAAGGCTTAGACATTCATATGAATAAAAAGAAAGCATCAGCAGTTAGACTAACTAGGAGAAAAAAAACCATGAGGGCAATCAATCCACATGCTTCAGGGTACAGCCTGATCACCAGATGGACTCAGAAGGAAATATCCCCCCATAGTGTAGTAGAGCATAATTAGGTGCATGATGAGGATTTTACACCTTCTTGTAAATCATTTATCCTGGCTAGAAATCACCTATCCTGGCTTTAGAAAGGGGATAGCAAGCAGTATGGCTGGCTACTGTGCTCTTGTACAGAAAAAGTCATGTTTCTGCTTCCCCCAGAGATGGAATTGAACCAAAACCCCAACCTGACATCAGTCCTCCTTCCGAGTGCATCTTACTTCTGCTGTGAGCCTGGTTATAAACTTCAGGTCTTGGTGTCCCTTGCTGCCTAACCATGCAGCAGCTTCGGTTTGGCTCCTGCTTGGAAAACAGGACCCTATCTCTGGTAGATGGCTGCAAAGAACACATGAGCAGCACTGGTCCCACAGCAAGTACTCAGCTACTGCTGCTTTCAGCTTGATGGAAAAATGGATCCTGGTGCCTCCGGTCTTGCAAACTCATGTGTTGAGTTGCTACTGAGACTCTCCAGCTCCCCATCTTCTGCCGCTTCTGGCAGCCTCCTTCACCATCTGGAGAATGGACTTGTGAAGAATTTGGGAGCGTTTTCCTCCAAGCTGCTCGGCCACTTTAAGTCCAGTACTTTTCAGGCAAGCGGACAAAGCAAGCAGCAGAGAGTATTGCCACTGAATGCCTGAGCCTCGTTGCCTGCTGTGTGGTGAGCAATGCCAGAGTTAAGGTTTATACACAAACCTAAGAGTCTGCTCATTAAGCAAGTCAGTAAATAGGGGAGCTCTGTGTACTGGTAAGGTAATAGACTTTATATAGCTTAGTGCAGTCAAAATCTGAATTAGGACCAAAATAACTCAGTGACGTTCTCATTTAGTTCATTTTTTTTACGTATATCAGCGCTCGGTGGCAGTTCTCTTCTGCCACCAGGAAAACCGTGTTGTTCTCCTGTTGGTTCGTTTGCTACTCAGGAAGTAACACACAGCTCTGAAGTAAAATTACTATTTTTAAAGTGTTGTTTTTCATCCTACCTTATTTACTTTTTGCACCCTGATCACTTTTTAAAGGCAACAGTATCTTACAGAAAACCTAACTCGCTCCCAGGGTGCAAGCTACTATTGCTATTACAGATCCATGATAAATTGTCCAAAGCCGAGACGGCCCAGAATTCCCACAGGCCGTGTGCTCACAGGTAATGATACGTCTGAAATTCGTGACAAGGGCAGAAAGCTACGTAACCAATCATGCATATAAGCCCTGAACTCCCCTGGGGCAGGCATTCATTTAGTGCACGTGCTAAGGATCTAAAGGAATACGGCAATGAATATTTGTGAACACACAAAGCATGGAGAGAAGCCCCATGCATCCACCTGGGAAATCTCCTAGCAGGTGACTGACACACACGGTGCTGTTTTGTTTCACGCAGGCAGAAAGTGTCCCATTGCCAGGCACCTCTGGCAGCCTGTGAAGTTGTCCTGGCTCTTCACTGAAGTTAAGCAAACCGGACACCTCACAGCGCGTGTTGGTTTGTCACTGAGGTGGGGAGATGTCTTCTGACCAGCCTCTCAGTAAGATGTCCTCCCTTGATTTTGCAGCCCTGGAGCAGAACACCCTGCACGCCTGAGAGGTAGCAGATAAGCCTTAGGTGCACCACCTCTCCATGCCTTCTCCTCAAGACCTGCGTCTGCTTGGGTGCTAGTGAAACAGTCCTGTGGTTAAGTAACAGGCCAGTGAAAGTTTCAATCAGCCACATCAGTGAAAAGTAAGAGATCTCTGAGGAGGGATGTAGGCCCTCACCACCAGCCCTACCTCCACTGCTTGCTGCACTGTCACATTACATTTCGCGTCAGGGAAAGGTGGCTGCAGTTCCCCGTAATGCTTCAGTCACAATCCTTCTCAGACCAACATGGGGTGATGCTGCCCATGTGGTGATCAGACC